CCCAAAACCCCAAAACCCCAAAACCCCAAAACCCCAAAACCCCACAATATTATTTCTATATTGAAATTTATTCAAGGAAATCAATTTTATTCCCATATTTTTCTTTTCTTCTCTTAGCCTTGCCTGAATCGAAAGTTGTGGGATCTTTTCCTATTTTTGAGAGAAGCTCTGATGTTGAATCTAAACTTTCAAGACGTTTGGTCAAGTCATCGAGCTTGGTATTAGCTTTACCACCAGTTTCCCTATTTATATTAAACTAAAGTATACCTTTCATCAAGATGGTTGTATTTTTGCTTTCTCTTATCTCTTCTTGGCTGTTTGAACAAGAATTGATAAATGATAACACCAACAAAAGATATTCCAATTATAAAATAATTGCTTTGAGCTATAGAAGCTAGGAAGTTTTCTGTGAATATCTCTGAGTCAAATACTTCTATCAGAACTAGTTCTTCTCTACCCTCATTAATAACTTGGATCGCTAAAGTATTATACATAATCAGATACCTAAATGGGATGATTTTTGAGTCACAAGTGCATCAAACTTCAAGGACTCAAACTCCAATTCTTTGAGAATTTCAGGCTTGTACTTAACCCCCTTAAGCTTATTCCAATCGTGTTTAGTTTCATCAAGCCTTGATTCAGTGATGTTGAAAACATTTATCTCTCCACTGTCCTTGGCTTGCAAGATGAATCTGTTGAGAGGAAATGTTGAGTAATTACCAGAAGCTTCCCCTGTAATTTTACCAGCAATAGAGCATCCAAGCGACTTTTTGTTCTGCAAAAGTTCGTAAATAATTACGTCTCCATCGTGTGTACCAACGTAGAATCTTCCGTGAGCCGTTGGGTCATGTGAAATAGTAGAGATTTGTTTTGTTCCAACCTCACATGAGGCTTTCATCATTTGGCCATCAAAAGTACGCAAGAAGCTTATCTGGCTACCAGAACTATATATCATTAACATATGATGTCTCGTAATAAGATCAATTGAGTCAAATCCAGAGTGAGATCTTGAGATTAGATTCACCAGTGCTTTATCCTCAGTTGGTTTATTTTTATCTGGAATAGCTTTCCTGTAAATATTGAAAAAGCCCTGGGAGTCAGCAATGATGATGTTTCCAGACATTCCTTTTCCAGAAAATTCTAAGGCAATAGGTGCAACACCTTCAGATAATCTGGTTTCAACGTCCTCTTGGTATAGAGTCTGGTTATTACTGACTATGGTATCCCACATGTTGAATGAAATCGAACTCGCAGCGTAGAAAGTTTTGACAACTCTAACAGCTTGGTGGTCTTTCTTGCCCTTAACATTGCTAGCTGTTTCATCTGGTTGAGCTTCTACATTCATAAGATTTAATCTGATTGAGATTACATCCCCGCTCTTAGTCAAGATTAGCAGGTAAGGCTCATCAGGGCTATATTGTAAAATAGATTAACTACTTTGCATCTGAGCATTTGAATGAAACTATTTCCTTCTTAAGATCTTGGACCTGATCTAGGTATGAAGAAATATCAAATTCCGATATAAGAGAAAGAGTGGCTACTGAATATATCCTCACAACTTTGTTATTCTGTAAGACTGCCAATACTTGACTCCTCTAGAGACAATAAGAAAGAAGCATACCGGATTTATCATTTCTTTGCTTTGAGTCCAAAAGTTTGGAGGTTGAAAGTACAGGAATTCTACTATTTCTTCTCCAGGTTTAGACTCTATCGTTCCTTTAGTGGTGAGATATTTATCAATGCTGAAATCTTCAAATGTTTCAAAATTCTCAAAGCTTGGGTCTTCTATATTTTTGTAAGGAATATATTCTAATAAATTGTATTCTATGGTCTTAACTGAGTAGATGCTTTAGACTTAAAATTGAAGATCAACTAAGTGCTTACCAATTTCAATTTTTTCTAAGTCAAGATCTTTCGGAATCTTAATTTTCCCATTCCTAATATGCTTGATTAAATACAGTCTTTTATGGAGCTGTTCGATCCTATCCGAAATCTGCTGGATTTCTTGAAGTTCTTCCTGGCTCTGCTCAGTTTCAATAGCTCAAAAAGAGACTCAGAGTATTCAGAGAAATAGAAAAGCAAGCTTATGCTTCATTTTTGATTAAATTTTATAAATTTAAAATGGGGTTTTGGGGTTTTGGGGTTTTGGGGTTTTGGGG